GTTGCGTAGGAGAATTGATAATTAGCAATCCCTGTAAGAGATGAGCACACAAAGATAATCAACAAGATGTTATTTCTAATGAAGCAAAATCCGCCGACATTTTTACATAATCGTTAATTGTTAAGGGAGAAGGGAGAATAACGGTGCTTTGCAAAATAACACGGTAATGTGTCATATTTACGCGATTGATGTAACACGCAATTTTTATCCCGTTCCAGGAGATGGTTATAAGAGGCTGATTGCATGTTCAACTGCAATAATTACGTAATTATCTAAGAATTATAGCTCGATTCTCTCATAATCGTAGAAAATATTAAATAATAAATATAACTCACAAATTTTTCTGTTGCACAATAAAATAGAGTAAGATACAGTTATAAATATTTATAACTGTATCTTCGCCGTATTTTACAACAATATTTTTCTATATTCTCATACTTTTTTATTTTGGCGAATTCCCAGACAACACATTTGTCCAAGAATGAAACATAAGGCGTTTAAAAAATGCCTAAAAGGCATCTTAAAACATTTTTTTAAAAGACATTTTTAAGATGTTTTATGTCGATTTTAGACTTTTTGTTGTTTGGGTGGTGACGTGATATATTTTCATTGTATATATGATATAAAAAAATGTTGCTATTGTGATGTTGTTATTATGTATATTAACCACTGGACTGTCGCACGCAAAATGATTAACATAACGATAAAATTTTTTTGTTTCATATTTTCGTTGTGTTATTTCCTCTTTCAGATTCCGCGAGATTCGTGTGTCCGCTTAGGATGAGATCAGACTGAGCGCAATGACATCGAGATACTTCGTGTTTGTCGCAGCTCTAGCGTATGGTGAGTGCATTGATGTCATCTCCGAATTTTACAGAATTTTGAGTAAGATGCTTCCTGTTTCAAGGTTCACCAACTTTTTCTTAAATCTTCGATTCACTGCATCGCAAGCAAAAAATTATTGATCAAAAAGTATAACGTTTCTTTTCTTATCAATTTTTATTAATTTCCTTCAGCCTCGTATACATAAAATATAATTACATAATATTATATTATATATTCTATGAAAAGAAATTTTTATAATAAATTGTTAAGTGAATTACGACATAGAACTGATTTTTATGAGCTCGTGACTTTAGTTGCAGTGTCCGCCGCACAAGTTTATAACAGCCACTCAGAGGATGCAGTTGCAGCGATCGAGCCAGCAGCTGCAAATAATGATTTCATCACACAAACTGTCTATGGCTTCCTGGACTTCACCACGACAATCGGCAATACGGTGATGGTCTTCAGTCCTCAAAGCGCTCCTCCAGGTAACATTTGCAAAGTTTCATTCACTCGGATGATTACGTCAGAACTGCAAAAATTGAAATACGTTCAATTATTGCAATAATAATTAATAAAATTATAAAAACGATAAAATTACAAAAAAATTATTTAAAATTATTAAAAATACACTATATACATTTATAGACATTTACATCGTCATTATAATATTTTTGTGATATCTTTTACTATAAGGGTAAGTCATATCTATTTTGTAAAACTGTTAATAAAATCGTAATATCAAAAATGAATATAGTTTATGTTCGTGATAGTAAAAGTTGCTAAGATTAGCTCGTATTTTTCAATTTTTCTTTGTTTATTTTATTCTATTATCTTATTTTACTATTTTGTTCTATTATTTTTATGTTATATTATTACTCTTGCTTAATTTTTGTTTATTTTTCTATCCTGCACATACCTCCTCATCTGAAC